GAAGGAAGGAAGGAAGGAAGGAAGGAAGGAAGGAAGGAAGGAAGGAAGGAAGGAAGGAAAATGGTTGGATATATTGAAACAAATGATAGGCACTGCTGAAGGATGAGCAGGGCTCCTTGCAGGGTGGCAAGGAGCATGTCTAGTAACATATCTTAGCTGTAGGCAGGGCTTATCTTCCTCTTCCAGGACTAAGAATAAATCACATGGACACATCACATGCTTGCCCTCTGCTTGCTTTATATTTTTCATCTTAGCAGAGATGTGGAAATGAGCTAGATTAAAAAACCAAGAAATAGAGGGAGAGGGGAGATTATTAAACCACACATGTTGCTGAGCTCTTTTGAGAATCTGGCTCCTGACATCACCAGAGAATTTGCATTATTTTGAGGAATTCTTATTGAGGGCTAACTACTTATGTTGAATATTCCCTCAAAGTGATAAAGTTCTTTAAAGCAGAGGAAAAAAGAATATTAGAATTTACTGTTAAATTCACAGTCTGTTTCAATATGAGTGATGAAGATGGTACATGAGTGTCCTAATGCTTTGAAGGCAGAAACATAACAGATACTGCTGTTTGTCATGGGAAAAGACAAGAAAGTGAAGTTCAAGTAAGAGCAAATATCGTGTGTGCAAGATTATTCTTGTGCTGTTGATAACTCATCTGTCTTAATCTGATTTTGTTTGCAACAAACCACTGTGATAAATCTCAGTTCATAGAACTGCCCATCACTACCTCTGTGAATCTTTTCTGAAGAACTACTTTGCACTGTGAAAATTAATTACTGCCTGCAATTGCATTGTGCAAATTCCTTGTTTGTTCAGTCCATTTAGGCATGCTTTCTTGTAAAATGTCACAGCACAGTGTTCCTTCTTACCAAGAAAATACAACTGTCACTCTGTCAAATAACTTGTTTCTCCCACTATCAAAAGAAAAAAAGCAAAACAAGGGATCAGTTTCAGACCAAGAAAAGTACCCCAGGAAGTTGGCTGGAGGCAATTAATTACTTGTCAACATCTCCCTCAGATCTGCATAAAAAGGTGCCTGTTTGGCTTTGTTCTGCTCCTTATATTGCACTACTCTACTTCTTTCCCAATAACGTCCATCAGCCTGGCGTCTGAATGCCTGCTAGATCTTGGTATACCAGGCCTGCTCAATCAGGTTCTCCACTGGGATAATTCAGCATGACCCATCTGAAGCTATATTGTGTTTCTTCTGATTTGTGTCATATTAGATGCATTGCTGTTTACCTTGGTCACAGAGAGAGGAGCATGGATGTGCATTTCTCTGTGTGCAAGCTGATGATGGCTGTTAGGGCATGGATGTGCTTTTCACCAGTCAGTCACACATAGTGGCAGATGTGAAACTCAGAGGCATACCCAGACAGAGGCATAATAATCTTTAAGCCCAGAACTAGCCATGTGTGCACGTACATAGGCTTATGTGCAAGAATATGGAGGGATATGAAAACCACATATCACGTCTAACCATGTGTGGACACAATCCAAATGTCCTTACAGTTGTCTCTAGCAAGGCTGCTTTCTTGCTCTTTCTTTCCCAGCTGTAGGGGCATAGAGATTTAAAAGTGCACAGCAGGGAAACAGTCTGCTCTAGGGGATGCTCCTCTAGGTGCTGATGAATTGCACACAGGAGCAGACCCATTAGCCCTGGCCCCATCAATTCAGGAAAAGACAGAGGCTTGCCAGCGTTTGGTTGCTGGCAGCACACTTCTATCACATGGCCTTTGACAGGTCACTGCTCCCCTCCCTGGGGAGAGCAGATACATAATGCAGGAATGCGCAGTCACTGGAGGGCTCATGTGGTTCTCATCAGCATCTCAACCCTCAGCGGGTGGGACTGCTCTCCCACACATAGCTTTCCAGTGTGTCAGCACCCCTGCATTAAGCCAATAGGCTGGCTCTGCTCATCTTCCTCAGCTGGCCTGTGTTGGTGGAGTTTACAGCAGGTCAGATGTGTCTCCTCAAGTCACATACTGACTGAGACACTTGCTTACTTGCCGGATTGTTTCTCCTCCAGGGCATCTCTTCAGCTTCCATCTTGATTTTCCAGCCAGCTTTTCCTTCTCTGCCCTGTTAGGATGATCTGAGTGTGTCATTTACCACACTTCCATATCTGCCTCCTGGCCTGGGAAGGAGCACATTGTACTTTAGCTCTCAGAGCCACAGTCTGTCCAGCCCTCAATACAAAATGTTGTAGTACACATTACCCATAGTAACTTTGTGGTGCTTTGTCTTGATGGTGCCTTACCATAGTGAATGCTGTCTGAGCAAAAGGTTTTAGAAAATACACCTTTCTTTTTTTGTTCAATCAAATTGCTCCTGTTGCTTTTGCTACACTCTCACCATTTATTTTCCTCTTTTAAACTAGGTGCAGCTAAGATTTTTGTTTGGAAGTCCCCTTTAAAGTGATTGAAGAAAGACAGGTTCATTCAGAGAGGAACTGAGATTTTTAATGAACTGAATCATCTGCTGGAAAGCTGAGGTGTCCAAGCACTCTGTGGTTCTCAATTTCCTTTCACAGTCCACACTGAGAAAGAAGTGCACATCAATCCTGACACTTTGCTGTGTATCTGCTAGTTTGGCTGGGGCTCTGAATCAGTTCCTACATCTCAGTGTGCCATGGCCTGAGGATGCAGGTGGGCACGGAGGAGCAGAGACTGCAGGAGCATGCAGGGGTAAGCGAGCACGCTGGTGCATGTGAATTCCAAGGCAGAGTGCTTGCAGATAACACTTCCCAAAGGAGACTCACATTCAGGTTGCCCATGCTCTCACCTCAATGATATAGTCTTTTCCATCTTTGCTGTGGACAGCTTTGACAGCGCAGATGTCAAGACCTCCAAACATTTCTGCGCAGGCATCTGCCCAGAGTCTGTACCTGCAGAAACCACAAGAGCATGGCCTAGGATTAGCTGTCCTTGGGTAGTCCACCAAAACCAGCCACCCACCCGCTGCCCATAGGAACACAAAGCCATTTGGGAGTCCTTATTTCCTTCATATGTTTTGCTGGCTCCTTGACTCCCTCTCTTGTGCAGGAGATGGAGTGAAAAAAAGAATCTTGCCTAAAGTTTTCCTTCATTTCAGATTGACTCAATTCTGCTGTCAAAGCTACCTTAAAATGTTTCTTTCCTTCCTTGGCATTTACATCAGATCTCCAGTTGGTTGTCATTCAGCCAAGCTATAAATATTTGGCTCATTTAATCTCCCAGTAGTGTTGGCCCCTCAGCGTTTGTATTGGCTTTGCCTGAAAGCCCTCCATTATGCAGGCAGCTTTCTCCTGATAAGATGTCCTGGACATTAGGACTGGAATAGGATCAGAAAGTGAGTGTTGAATTTAGCAAGGAGTAGCCATCCCCTCCCTGATCTGTAACACAGTGGCTCCTGCATTTTACAATTTGATTTCAATTTTATCCTTTTACAGTTTCCTGCCTCCTTCTGTCCCTTGGGTGTTGTTCCTAGTCAGGCAGTCTCATCACATGGACCAGGCACTATTTGTGAGGAGAGACCTTCAGGCTGCAGCACTTTCCCCTATCCATCCCAGAATGGGAATGTGAGCTGGTGGCCTGGAGTCAGAGGAGGAGAGAGAATGACAAGAGGCATATTATGGGGGGACCAGATCCCCCTGCAGTGCAAATGAGGAAGGAATGAGGCAGCCTGGTTTTATTTCCTGTGCAGCTGTGCAGTGGTCCTGAACATTTAAATAAAAATAATAATCTCAGAACAGCAGATCTGTAAGCAGGACTATGACAAGATGCAGAGAGGGGAGGGAAGGCCACAGTCTCATGAAAACACTGACATTTTGCAGACCCTACAGGGTCTGAGGAAAGAGCTGTTCTGGCTAAAAAACAAATTTACGTCCTTGAAGCCAACCAGAGTCCCCATAGCTTGGCAATATAATGATCAACTCGTGTGAACACAATGTCTCTGGGAAGAAGAAAAATTGTGCCTTATATGACTACTGTTGCTCTTTTATCCCTAATGAGGAGACCAAGTGTGTTCCCCCAAGGACCCCCAAGGAAGACAGTGTATGAGGACGAGTCAGTAGCATAGGGAGTAGCATAGGGAGGAGGAAAATGATGGATTGCATGAGTCAGGCAGGAGACACAGAGAGCACCCCTTATGCACTGCTGTGTCCCAGCATCCAGGGGCACCATTGTGGGAACCACCTCTGTTCCTGAGAACATCTCTAGGTGTCTGGGTCAGCAGCCAGGCTCAGGGAATTGTTGTTCATGCCAGAGACTCTGATGGCTACACATCTTCAACGTTTATTGGCCACAAGTGAGCACTGGGAGCATCAGGGTATAATGAATATTACAGGGTAAAGAGCATATTTATGCACATGCACTAGGTGTTGCATTTTCAGAGGATTTACTGTCATTTCTGCGTTACCTGAACATTTCAATCCTTTGTACTTACTGTTCGATACAGTAGGTACTTCAGGTTGCTCCTACTCCTCAGAGCGTTTGAGCACATTCCTGCCTTGTTTCATGCGCTGACAGCTCACAGATTTCAACAGGGTTTGTTGCATTTATGACTGAATAAGGCTGGAGTGGTTAATTGTGGTATAATTAACAAAATGAACCTTCAAAATGCAGTGTTGCAAGCTGGCAGGAATCTGGGGTTTAGTCCTACAACACTGCAATAAGGTAATGTCTACCCTTCATGGGTCTAGCTTCAGCTGTGTTATAAACAGCCAGGATGCATCATCATGTCTATTTCCCACAGTTCTATTAGGGTCTTGCAGAGTCACTTTCAGCATCTGATTTGGTGCTTGGCTTCCCTGTTCTGTAGAACTAAAGGTACAGAAGGGGCCTTAGATGATATATATATAAGGAAATGTTCAAAGGAACCTTTTAAGCTATAATTTATTTCTTACAGTATTATACTTGTAATGTAGGTAGTGAGAAATGCCTATTAACAGGCTTTCATATATTTAAAGATCCTATGCTCTTTTGGTTTTTTTCATCTTTAGGATGAAGTGGTGTTCAGCTTGTGGCAACTTCTTCCAGGTCTGTAACAGTTAATGAAGGAGAGTGAACCTCTTTACTGCAGGCAGGGTTTCATTATGCTTTAGTCTACACCTCTACGGGAAAAGTATCAGTGGTCTGCTAATTGAAAAAGGTGGAAAACTACATAAAACTACATAGAAGTACATAGAATTATTGCGTGTTTTTCTCAACAGCTCTTTATTTTTTCTCTGAACGTTCCTTTTATTGTCCTTTGGACTTTCTCCAGCTCCTTGCTATTTCTCTTCAACTGTGGTGCCCAAAACTGGACAGAGTCAAAATTAACTGACTCTTACAAACTGGAGGTATAATCTGAAAAAAATAATAAATTCAGTAAGGATGAATGCCTACATGTAACCTATGGATTCTATAAATCTATGAATAATCTACTTGGATGGGATGGAGAAAAGTGATGAGAGCAAGTGGTAGTTCTGCAGGATAGGAATTACAACAAAGCATGTTACCCTGAGTCCACAGTGTCAGGCAGTTGCAGTGTTAGCAAATATCACAGTGATTTGAATACATGGAAGTAGCAGCTGCAAGTTTTAGTCTGTAAGATGCATGAGATGCATTCTTTCTGCTCTATTCCACAGTGAGAAGACCTTAGCTTAGACAGTGATCACTTTTGTGAGCCTAAAGCAAAAAGGTGCTTTCAGCACTTCAGCTGACAGGTTTTCCCCCCTCTGTTAAGCAGAAGAAAATCTCTTTTCTGTTTCTGCCTCTCATTCTTAATGTACTTAGAATAACCTCGTGTTACTTTGTGTTTTGTGCTTTGACCTTTCTGATTTTATCCCTACATGTTTGTACTGGTGTGCTTGACCTAGCATGCTGGTCCTGTTTCCTGTGGTTACATTCACTAAAGATCTAATGATTTAGCAATGTTGGTTTCTAGCTGTACTTTCTGTCTGTTCTTCAAAATAGGACAGTTTGCCTTTGTGTCCTTGATATTTTTTTAAGAAAACACTCGGTCTTTTAGAGTCTTTATCCAGCCTCCCAGGAGACCTTACTTACCAGTTCTCTCAATTAACCAAAGTTGGAAATACAGTTCCTCCCTTCTAACCCAAGAATAGCTAATACTGTCTTGAAACATTCTTCCTTACCTCTCTGTCATTGCAATCTGTTCTAGCATCGCAGAACCTGTGTTTGCCTTCCAGTTTCCAGAGATGGAAGTCCTCCTAGGAAAACAAACCAAAAACATAACCTGAACATGAAAATAGACTCCTGACCCATCCTCCTACCTACTGTAGTCCTCATTCTTGACTCTGTGCTTGTACAGGAGAGGATGAGGTGAGGTTCTTCCTCCCAGAAGCTTTTCCAAATCCTTCCTGAACAACACTCCATACAGGATATGTTGTTCAGACTCATGAAAAACTGAGGATTTTAGGCAGAGAAACCTCCAAGGAGTCCTGAGCACACATCAGGATCTGTGACTACTTTCTTTATTTATATATCAGACCTAGGGGAGCTGAAATGTGTGTAAAAGATCTCTAGGATAATCATCCTTGTGTTCTGCAATGGGTAGCATCCTCCATCCACAGAACAGAAGCTCTCCAAGCAAATATTTACTGAGCAGCTTCACAAAATATCAGTTCTGACATTCTGGGTCTACCTAAATTTGATTTCAATTGTACTTCTGTGTCCACTTCAATTTGATTTCAGTGGTACTGACGTCACAGAATATATTATCATACTATCTTTTCACTGACTTTTCATTGACCTGCCCGTGGCTCACTGTGTTTGGACTTGGAGAATTTCTTATTTCAAAATCTTTGGAGTTTCATTAACTGATAGTTAATTTCCAAAAAAGGTGTTGTTGCTAGAAAATTCTGGGTTTCACCATCACTGTCAGGGTTAAAAATTTTCCTTTTCTTGACCTTAGGCCAAAGGCAGACAAAGGACAGCCTGCTCTGACAACACTCCAGATAACCCTTCCACAGTGTACAAGCCAGGACAAGTCAACAAGCTGACAGGATACATCCAGGAAGCCTCTCCACACTGAAGAAAATTTAGGTAGAGATTTATAGGGGAGTATGAGGTGTGATCCAGCACTCAATACGAGGTTGTGGGAGCCCTTACTGCCAGTTCTCTCACGTTTTCAGCAACATGTGCAAAAGACACTGAACTACATTCAGCAGTGGTAATTCTCATGTCCTGCTAGACTATAAACTTGGATCATTATAGCTGACTAAGACTTCCCTTTACTCTTGTGAGAGACACCCTGGAGTGCTTTTTCCAATTCTCCTCTAAACTGGTATGTTTAGTTGCTGTGAATTTTAAACTGTCTTTGTAACCATGTTTAAAGGAGTGGAGTGGGGGGCTGAAGGAACATGATTACTGTGTCGAATAACTGTGTTCTCATATAGTTGACTTTTGGGCCTGTTGTCTTCATCCAGCATCCATTTTGCTGCCTTACTTTCTAAGCAAAAGAATGGATTCCTCCTCAAGCTTAGACTGTCATGAGCCCTTTGATGGCCTGCAAGGTCAGTGTTCAACCCTCAGCTTTTCTTCCTCTTTTGTTATGGGATTCTTAGGATTATGTTTTCAGTTCTGCAGTGGGAAGAACCACTCTTTGCTAACATTTATTTTTAACAGAAAATTGCCCTGCAGTGGCAGAGGACATCCAAAATCCCATTAGTACTGGTAGGAACTCCTGGAGTCTCATTAGTGACAAGTTGATTTGACATTGGTGTTTAGAAAATGTACCTGGCATACCAAATGTAAGCAGCTGTGTTGTCCCTAAGAAAATGAAACCACAGCTTGACAGTTTTACAGGGAAATTTGACATGGGAAAGCTCCCAAAATAAGAACCCTGCTCAAGCCATTGGGCTGATTTATTTGACTTGTTTATGCCTATCCATCTTAAGCCAATTTTGGGCATAAGATTTAAAATATACCTCTGTGCTGTATTCCTAACTTTCCTGTTAGGGAACCTTACTGTTTTGAAATGGCGGAATTTTATTTGAAGCCCACTGGATCAGACCCCAAACCCTACACCACAGCCTCTGTTAAGATCACTCCCTTTCAAGCATGTCTGAGCAGTTCATATATCAACCATGCCCCTAAACTTACAGAATCACAAAATCACTGCATATTCTCAGTTGGAAGGGGCTCAAAAGGATCATTGAGCTCATCTTCTGGCCCTGCACAGCACCATCCCCCAGAGTCACACCACGTGCCTGAGAGCATTGTCCAAATGACTGAACTCTGTCAGGCTTGGTGCTATGACCACTGCCCTGGGGAGCCTGTTCCAGTACCCAACCACCCTCTGAGGAAGAAGTTTTTCCTCATATCCAACCTAAACTTCCCCTGACACAATTTTAGGCCATTCCCTTGGGTCCTGTCACTGGTCATCAGAGAGAAGAGTTCAGTGCCTGCCCCTCCCCCTTGTAAGGAAGTTGTAGACTGTGATGAGGTCTCCCCTCAGTCTCCTGCTCTCCAAGCTAAATAGACCAAGTGACCCCAACTGCTCCTCATACAGCTTCTTTTCGATTTTCTTTTTTGTATTGTACGAGGTGAAAAAGGAGACTGAAAACAAAAAAATTTCCTAAGGATGTTCTGCTTCAAACCCTATTTCTTTTAGGGACTGAAAATCGAAGTGCTTCCAACTATCCTAAACATCAGGGAGCCACACAGTGTACAGTCAGTATCTGACCCCAGAAGGACTCCAGGCTTTTAGAGATCAGTTCCTCAAACAGATTTGTGACCACAACACCTTCAGCATTGTTTAGGAGAAGTGGATAAACGAGCAGATCAAGAGCTGTTAGTGTCCTATCTCAGTCTATAAGTAGCTCCAGTTTAGACACAGTTGATGTGGTATCCCCTAGAGGGCACATTAAAGTGCATTGTAGGTGACAAGGTCAGAAATCCCACTCATGAAACTACAAAGGAAGGGTATTACCCTCTTATTAAGAGCTGGTGGCAGGACTGTGCCATACCTGAAACTCAGTAGCTGCTGGCTTAATTCAAAGTGAACAACATTTCACGAGTCTTAACTGGAAATGATCCCTCTGTTTGCCTCCAGCTGGGGTCAGTGTGGAAGCATAATTTCTGCCCCAATTTCCCTTGCAAGCTGTTTTCATGTTTTCTCTTCACCAGCATTACAATGGCAGTGAAATACACTTGGTGGAATTTTAGGCATGTATCATATGCTGCTTATCTGCTGCTTTCAGACTGGCTCAAGGCATGGGCTAAGTAGAAGTTTGTCAGCAGTGTAAATCTGGAGTCGCTGCACTGAAGCCAATGGGAAACTGAACTGAAGCCTTGGGTCATGGTCTGGAAGGAAGTGCATTGAACATCTGGGGCAGGGAGGAATGCATGACTCACCCTGCAGCATCCTCCCTCTGGCAGATGCTTGGTGCAAAGTAAACATATTCTGGAGAATTTCAGTGCAGTCTTTTCTCAAAAGAAAAGGGGCTTTTAAAGTCTATATGTGTGGGTGAAGGTATAAAATTACTGGATAGATTCCATGGCTCACAGATCAAAGCAAGTCACACAGTATGACGCTACTGCAGATGCTGGAATTGCCTTTAAGGCTGGGATTTGCTAGCATGACTAATGGTTTTGAATCTCCTATCTGGGACGCCAGTGAGAGCTCTGATATTTTGGGTGCTTTTACCTCTGTCCTTGGACATGACAGGGACTTATACCATAGAAATAACCTATTATGCAGAAGGAACAGTCACTGGTGGGACTGACTATACCACTCTCACAACCATAAATGGCTCTCTCAATCTAAATCAACTTCTTGGGTTAGCAAGTCACTGGGTGAATCTTGCTGTTTGCTTTCTTTTCTAATGAGCTTCATTTCTCATTAAGGTGTTCTCTGTTCATGACTGTTTTCATATGAAAACATTTTTTCTTTAGCAAACAGTTGTTTGTGCAGCTATACTCTCAAGTGGGATTAGGTCTTAGTGTGACTGCTTTCTTTCCTCAATCATCTGGTATTATTTCTGATCCCTGTTCTGGATGAGTGCATGGTGAGTGCGAATAATAAGTGAGGAGAGAGTATGGTCAGGCTAACTTGGCCTTTGTTTCAGCTAGAGGCAGTTGGGGAGCAGGCTCTGGAGCCAAGGCTGGGTGTGTTGGCAGGAATAGGGAATTTTAATTGATATTTTAAACCTTCTTTCCTCTGGCCAATTTGAGTCAGACTCTCTGAGATGTTAATGTAGTATTAGGCAACTGTGCTATTGTTGACCTGATTCAATTAAAAATAAATTTTCTTTCATTGAGATCACATGAAGTAGGCAAGTGTCCCCCATGTTCTTTCTTCCCATGAAGAATGTGACTCAGTCATTATCTAGTTTTCTTAAATATTACTGTAGTAGGAATCCAACTGGGAATTTTAGGCAGTTATATCTGGAAAATATGGGATTGTGTACATTTCATTATCTTGTTTAACTATGTTTCAGCAGGGCTATGGCCTAGAGGTTTGTAGACATGAACGCAAAAGTCACAGAGTTGTGGGTGTTAGGTGACATATATACAATTTATCTGGTGACCTGAAGAATATACTGCTGGAGCTGACTACTTGTCCAGAATTCTGTGATTGGATAAGGAGCTTCTGGAGAAGATGTGCTGTGTGGCTTTTTTAATTTACTGGTTTGTAGTAAGAAGAAACAGGTGTCTTACTGACTCATGTGGTTACATCTCCAATCAAGTGTGGTGACTACTGAAGTTTGACCGAATGCTTTTTAATACTTTTAAACATACTAGTGTTGAAGATTGCTGTCATCCCACCTCCCTCACTACCCCACAGGGCAGGGAGGAGCTTTGGGGCACTCACAGAAATGTCACTCCTCCTCTCCCTGCTTTGTATGTGTTAAGGAGCACACATGCAAAATGCCCAGAGAAACTCTGTATGCTGCCCTGGCTGAAGCCGTTCAAACCTGGTGCTCTGTGCACCTGTGTGTGATGTGGTGCTGTGGTCTGCAGCTGGGGAGAGGATAGAGTGCTGCTGTGGCCTGAAGGATGGGGTGCTGCTATGGCCCAAACAGCAGGACTCCAGGAGTTGCAGCTAGTTCAATCCTTTTTTATTTTTTTCTCCAGGTGGAAAGTGGGTGGGTTCAGTTCCCGCTAGAGGGTACTTGGAGCTGGAGGATTTTGCTGGGAAAGATGAGTCCTTCAACAACAGGATGGAGAGGTGATGGCAGAGCACAGTCATTATAGTGGGAACTGAATCTCAGAAACAGACATCTACATCCCAGAAACAATGACCTGACAGTGACTAACAGAGAAGATTATTGATGGATGAGGGATCTGGGTTCAGATGTGGGAGGAGAACTGCAGGGTTATTCTTCAAGGAAATTAAGTCAGCTACCTACTCCTGCCCAGAGCAGACACCGACTCAATCACATCCATAGCACTGTCTCCTCCCCCGTCTCGTTCTGGCATAGCCATGCACTCACATGTAAGCCTTGTAGTTGCTGCCAATTTTCTGGATTCGGATGTCATATTTGGAGTCAATGAATGGCTCGGTGGTGGCATAGGTTTTTGCCATGGCTACTATGCTGGCCATGTCCCGGAAGTCGTGCTGGTTCTCAACTTTGACCTTGGTTATCAAAATCCAGTGAAAAAGAGACAAGAACAAAAAGAACATGAATACTTTGTAAGCAGAAGTCATCTCTGCACCTGAATAGCACAATGTCATTTAAATCCCACACAGACACAGCTGAGGACAGAGCAGGGCTTCTGTGATTCAAAGAGAGAAGTTTCCCAGAGCAAACCAACCCAGAGCAAATCCATCCCATTCTCCTTCCTCATGTCCCAGCCCTGGTAAACCTGGCACCAGAGAGGCAGCCAGACCTTTGCCCAAGTGGCTCTTACTAATGCTCTTTGCTTTCAGGATGCTTCAGAAAAATATTCAATCTCTTAAGCGATATTACTTCATTCAAACTTTGCAACTGCTATTTCCTATGTTGGGATGGATGAAAACAGAGTATTTTGGGTGGTCAGGAAATATAAACCAATTCCAGGAAATCAACATGAGAGCTGGTTGTCTGCCACCTCTAGGCTTCAGTTCCCTGGCATTTCCCATTAACCCCCTCCAGACTCTGAGGAGTTGTGCACGTCTCTTGACTAGATACAAACTCTGAAGGAAATGGATGTCTCTGGGGGAGTTTGTGACTCTTGGGGAGACTTGCATGAGTGTGAGGCAATGGCTATGTGGGTTGGATTTTGGACTTGTGTCGCACTTGGAAATGAAAGAGTAGTTGAGACCTATGAGCTACAGTTTTTCTGAGAAGATGGCTTTTCACAGATCTGTGTTCAGTTATGGGAAATGCGCTATATCTTAATTTGAAAAAAAGTGAAATGAGGAATGACCAAAACAGAAGTTCTAATGATATAATCAAATGTCTCCAAAAGCTCACTGATTTGGGAAAGCAAAACTGAACAAGCAGGTAACAAGAACTTGCTGGACAACTTCACCTCACTCATATCTTTTACCATGACTTTAGTGTATTGGTAAACACTTGTTCAGTGCATAAGAGAAACCTATACAAGTCTTGTTCCTTAGGGCTGGACATGTGCAGGAAGGGTGGATTAATTTGTGAAAAAAGACCATGACTGTATGAAAAGGATGAGCAAGTGAGTGACTTTCTTTATGTTATTACCCTCACTTCGTATTTTGGTAATGCTTTGAGACCACAGTTGGGGGTTGCAACCCTGCTTTGCTAAGTGTGCACTGACGGGTGACAATCCATTGGTCCCTTCTCCAGAAAAGTTCCCCAGCTGTGTCACTTTGTGTTAAAGGAGGTGATGCCAGACTCTGTGGAGCCAGCTGAAGGAAGCACATGCAATGGTATTTGGTGTTTCTTCGCAAAGAACAAACAAGTGGTTTTATGTATCTGCTTTCCATAGGAGGGTGGGAGCCATCTTCACTAGAGAACAGAGGACAAGCTTGTTGCTAACCTGTTTTACTCTGTTCAGATTGTTTTGTGTAAGTGCCAACTTACACATAAGCCAAAGATTTGGCCACATCCTGTTGCAGAAAAGCTCTCAAAAACTGAACAGTTGTGGGGAAGGTGAAAAGTGCAACCAGTTTGACCAGGCATTTCTAGATGCCTGAATAGGAAAGAGAACTCGTCTTTGCTTCTCCTATTACTGACCACTGAATACTCCTAGTCCTTCTCCTTTTTGCTGTGCTCTCACCATCCAGGAACTCTGAGGAAAGGAGCAGAGGGTGATGACAGTCATCTGTGGGAAGGGAAGGTACCAAAAAATAAAAAATAAAAAACAAAACCAAGAAAAACAAAACAAAAAAAACCAAAACAAAACAAAAAACCACCAAAAAACCCCACCCAACCCAATCGAATATAAAGGAGATATGTAAAGGCAACTATTCCATGGCATCCAGGAGGAGCAGCCTTGCTCTAGGCTGTGTTGTTTCCCTCTCTGTCCGAGTGGGGATATGCAGGGGGGCAGGGTGAGGTGGTAGGAATGCCCTGGAGGCAGCTGGAGAATGGGAGAGGGAACCCGGAGCCTGGACTTGCAAAATACCAGAGGGAACAATGCAGGCTGTGTTGGAGCTAGGTATTTCTGTTGCACTGATAAGAGCTGCCCTGGGCTGAATGACATCAAGCAAGAGAGTCCCACCCAGATGAGATGATCACAGGAGGGACTGCAAGGGTAGGCAACACTGACACGGTGTTACAACATATTCTCCCGGACACTTTTGGGAGTGAGAAAATACAAAAGCCATTATATAATGACCTACTTGGAACAAGGATGTTTGTGGGATTTGAAACAAAGTGTTGTGCTTGTGTAACAGATGTCTTTGGGCCCAAACTGAAATGTTTGCATCCTCAGCCCAGGAACATTTGACCCAGAGCAGAGGAAAGGATGCATCTTCCCCCTCCAGACTGGAATTAGACCATATTGATATTGCTAGAAAGGAGCTCATCTTGTTAAATATGATGTTTCCTCAAAAATACAGCATGCTATGGAAATGAAGGGTCCATTTCTTCCTCCTCTCCACCATCCCTTCTCTATGAGGAGAGAAGAAAAGCAATTGAAAGTGCTCTCTCTAATGGGCCTGAGGACTTTTGGCTGGGTTAATAACGAGGGGGGACTCGCCAGGGACACAAAATAAAAAATGAAAAATAAAGATTATTCCCACAGTGCTACACCACTGCACAGTCCTCTGGCATCTTCCCTGGCCTGTGCTCGAGTACTTCTCAGAGAAAGCAACTCACAGAAGTCCCCTTGTAGGAGATCACTGCCTCATTTCCCACCAGGCATCAAAATAATCACCACACCAAAGCTGAAATCTGAGCCATCATTTGTTAATTGTTAGAGCCAGCCAAATTTGACAAAATAACAGCCGTGTTCTGGGTTAATGCTGGTTTATCCCAGGGTACAGTTATTACTTCATAAACAGGAAGCACTCAAGTTACAGTCAAATCAGATTTATTTTCCTGCCTTATCTATTGAGTCCCCCATTTTATTAGCTTTCTACTTTTAAATTTTGTAGAAATCATTTCCTCCTGCCTTGTAACCCTTTTAGATGTCAATAAGATATCCATTTTCCTAACAGAAGAAAAAATCCCAGACATAACCAAAGCCAGGGTAGAAGCAGGGTGACACCAGAGGGCATTATTTAAGAAGGTATTATTAAAAATCAATCCAGAGCAAAGTTACCAGTTTACCTAACAAGAGATAAAACAATCTTCTAAAATGGCAGGTTGACCAATACATGAAACCAATAAAAGAAGTTGAAAAGAAGCCAACAGGAAGCCATTTTTCCCCCCCTTCTCTCTTTTATTTTGCAACCTTCTTGGGATAAATGCTATATCCCATTAACAGCATAGAGGAGTGCAAACAGTGAGTACAAACACAGCCCCTGCCCTGGAAGCCTGTTTGCTTAGCTGTGCTGGCTCTTTGAGCAGCAATAGACTCATTTTGAAGCCATAAGTTGCTGTTTGCTGCAGCATTTTAGTGACCTGTTAAGATGGGTTTGGGCCAGTGTGTTGCCAGATGCCTTTTCTGAGTAAGAAAGCTCCTCCTTCCCTTCTGGATCTCTTCTCTAATCCAGGCACCAGTGATGCCCCAGCATGCTCCCTCTTGGAAAGGGGAATCTGGCTGGATCGCTGGGAACATGTTCACACAGATGTGACCATCCCTTTGCCCTGTGGTGGCATCTCAGAGCCTGACACTACACGACCTGCATCTGGTATCTGTTGCCATCCAGCCTGCCCAAGAAGCACTGATCTTTCTGCCTTTGTTTGAAGAAACATTCTGTTCCATCCTTGTTGGAGACCTCGTTTTGAGGCTTTTCTTGCAAGGCAGGATTTTGGATTGGTTCTGGCAGAGTTGAAACCCCACTGTGGCAATTTCCTGGGCAGTCTGAGCCACAACTGAGATCTGTGTGAGCACAGATTCCTTCAGTAAGAGATCTATCTGGGTAGAAACTTCTGCTGCCTCTGTCTCACAGTTCCCTAATCTGCTGCCTCTTGTACAGCCCAGATGTTCCTGGACACCAAGGTCCCAGGGCTATGGCTCTCCTCCCTCATCTTTAGCCTAAGTGCTGCAAGGTATTGCTTTGCAATCCCCTTTTGCTTTCATTATGTGGCCACAAGAAAAAATAATTGGTTAGCCAAAGTGCCATAATTATCTTACTCTGCTGGGACTGCCCTAGCCTTGAGTGTCATCCAGTATGAACTCTGCCTTTGAGGTTAACTCTGCCCTACAGGCTAAATACTCATCACTTTGGAGATAACTTGCAGAAGCATCTTCAGTGTCCAAAATGAGGTTAGAGCCAAGTTCAGCTGGAAGGTGAGTGTCCAAGGCTGAGCCAGGGCTGGACTTGGCAATGTGGTGTTTAACTGAGTCTTGGTAGGCTTGTGAAAATGCGCAGTCTTAGTGTTTTCCTCCAGAGGAACTGGTGCAGCCACACAAAGCTTGTGATTTTTTGTCCATCTCAACTTGCTCTCAGCCTTTCTGTAGGGACCCTACCATCCTGGGAATGGGTCTTCAGGAACAGTTCTGTGCAGATGGTTTCCTGAATCTCTCCTTTCCTCTACCCCAAATTATGCTCTCATTCTCAGAAAATACCCAATCCAACTGACACAAAATCAGTTTAGGCCTAAATTTGACTCACCCCAGAATAGTGAAGACACAATGGCGTCTACATTTCCTTTTTATCCTCACTCTGAAGTTCCCCATGGGCTGCCTTTAATGCATTGAAGCTTCCTAATACAGAGCCCAGGTCTTGGCTGCTGTGGTCCTTGGTGCCCTGGGTCAGCCACTGTTTCCTGTGTCCAGCAAAAGTTTTCAGACCGATGTGCAAGAAATGGGGATGTTTTTGCTATTTTCAAGACATTTGGAACATCCTCACTCATGAGTCAGTGGGAATGCAGTGATTGGGCTGCTCTGTTGTGAATGAATGTTACATGTCAAGTCATTATTTGTCTTCTCAAAAAGAAAATATTTGTTCCTTGACAAACTGAGGCAGCCCTTTCCCTTCCTTTCCTCTTTAGCACACTGGATTTTCAAAGCTCTTACTTTTGGAACATTCTATTTCCAGTCCCGAGAGAGACAAGGTGACGAGCTGTCCTTCCTGATAAAAACCTCGCAGTATTTTTACATTACAGAGTGGCTCTGTTTAGTTTGTGCTATATTTATACCACCGAAAAAAAAAGAGGCAGAGAAGTCTTTCCCATCCAGTAAGAGAGAAAATAACTCTGACCATATTATTATGAACAACAGGTTTTTCTTCTACAATGTAATAAATTAATCTGAGCCAGGATTTGTGCTGGGAAGATGTTTTCATAATTATGGGGCAGGAGGGGACAGGAGGTGACTCTTAAACGGACCTAATTAGAGAGGTCTAAAAATAAAGTAGGAGTAGCAAAATATATATACCTATATATATATAAAATTGATATAAATGTATGTAAAGTCACATGAACAGATAGTGGTTTTCCTCTCTTTGTAGATTTGGTGTTGCTTCCTTCTCATGATCTGATCAGGAAGAGGTGAAGAGGCTCTTTGAGTGAATTTGCAGTACTGGGCTCTGTTCCTAGGGCACTTTAGGGTCATGTTAACACACAAATGGCAAATACTAACACACTCAGAGCTTTATTCTTTTCCATGAGCTCTGGCAGTATGAGATCCGGAGTCAGGAAGAAGTGTTATTCCTTTCTCACTGCAGTGCTCTCCCTATTCAACAGAGACCCCCAATCACTTCTGGGGTAGGTAGGTTCAAACTGCACAATGCTTAAAAATGCCTTGACCTCTAAGGAGCTGCTGGGTAAACAACAGTTCTGTTCTGCACATGGAAAGACATCTCCTCTCAGTGTCCATCCATGGTTTCCCTGGAAGATTCCTTGAGTACTGTTGATCCTGTGAGTCTGGACAACTTAAGTACAACATGAGAAAGGTCCTTCTCTGCTGACTCCATTGTAAACAGTTGTCTAAGCAGTATTTCTACAAATATTTTACTTGTATTGATACTGCACAGGGCCAGCAGCACAGAGAGCACTTGTTATGCTTTTCCAGTGCCACTGAAATATGAAGTGACTCCAAATTTTGGAAGGAGGATAAGGATGATCATGGGAGGGGCTGAGGGGCATGTGTTCTGTTTTTAGATTAGAAGATTGTCTGTTTGTGGGTGAAGGCTATTACTGGTGTCTCTGTTCAAGTCAATAGAGAGGCTGTTGTTTCTGCATTTCTCAATGGAAATTTCAAAAGATGCCTTTTATTGCAAATTGGTTTTCTCCATCTCTATGTGCACCTCACACGCACACATCACTTGGCAAGAGCATTTCTTTCATGGATGGTATACTGCCACCCCTTTTGGTTCTGATCCTGAATAATAGCTGTTCCTCTCCCAAGCTAAAGACAGTTGTGGTGACCCACCCTGAAGGGGAAGGCAGTCAATAGAGCCTATTTTGTACAAGTCCTAATGTAGTTATTTTTCATTTTAGCTTTGAGAATTCTTTGTTCAGCCCTCTGATTAAAAAATGTGGTGAGTGAATTTTGTGAAGATTATGTCAAGACAAACAATATGTGAAAATGAAAGTCTGTTATAATTATGCTCCTTCTAGCAATTATTGCAAAATAATAAACACTCAGCACTTACACTGCCAAGACGTTATGAACATGAATTAGCAGTAAGTATCAGGTAATCATTATAATTCCTCTGGTCTGTAACACAGAGAAACGGAAGAAAACTGTGAAACAACACAAATCTTCCTGAAAGCAGATGGTGGAGCTCTTTGGGGAAGAGGCATTTTCTGCATCCAGAATTCTTCTGGCTCCTGGCCACTGCCTCAGACAAAGAATAACACTAGCTGGACTTCCCATCTTTGCTCATTCTTCTACACGTTGGTGCCTTCCATTACAAGTGATTTTACCATTAATAACAACAACAACAACAAAAGTAAAGTACTTTCTCGACAATTTCTGTTGATAATAACATTGTAACCGGAATGCTCACATCCTTTGAAGCACCAGTTACAGGTACAAATACATGGATCACTATCTTGCCATCATTTGTTGCAGTAAGTACTATTTTAATGCTCACATCTATACTTTGGCTAATACACTGGTTATTCTATCCTTTGTTTCTCCAGTCCCTGGTTAAATACAAAACATGACCTGATACAGGTGCTTTATTAACATTTACTTTGTTGCACACATCAAACCAAAAGCAAACCTCTTTTCATATTATGTATCTTTTATAGCTAAAGACCTGCTATTTCCTGCTATCATCTCTACTTCTGAAGACCATTGCAAGGAAATAATTTAGCTCTCTCTAATCTCACTGGTCATTGCTGTTGCATTATGAAGGTTAAAAACGCTATAATGTCTCTCTCTTCTTCATTACTTCCTTCTTCTTCATTACTTTATTGTAGGTTTGATTTTTTTTAATCTGCAGGTGTTACTTTTCTACTATACCCATAATTCCTCTTCTCTCTATTTCTCCTGATATTTTCTGTGGTTTCTTTTGTTGGTCCCACTTGGACTTGAACCCTATTGTTTCAAAAAAAGCATGAAACAAATTATTCTTGTTACTTGTGTTTTAAACCAACGGATTTATTCTTTATTTTATCTTTCTCACTTCTCGTTTTGCTCTGTGCAATGAAATGCAGTGAGACTGAAGAGAGAAAATTTAATCAGTCTCAACTTTCTTTCAGGCTGCTTGTGGCTGGAGAAGGGCCCAAACTAAAACCATAAGGTCAACAACTCTTGCTTCCTGTACCTTCCCCATCTACTGAACAGAGCAGTGTTGAAACTCTGTGCCCAAATGCACATCCAGACTTTGCTAGTCACTAATTTCATAACAGACTAAAGTAAACTTGGCCTCAGACCAATTCTTTCTTCTAAGATGCTGGCTTTTAGCCTATCTTTATCTGGAACGACTTCCTACATACCCTCCTTGTACCTCTGAGTACAATTGTGCCAGGAGTCTGAATAGAAACTCTCTTCCTCCATAACTTGTGACAGCAAAAATCAACATAATTAAAGAATAAAATGGGAGGGAAAGTATGAGATAGAAGAAGATCTGGTGTGTGGTGCAGAAGACAATAACTAAAGGTTCTGCTGAGAGTTTTGTCTGGACATGCTGTTAAGATTGGAGTACTTTTCTCAGATTCTGCCCTCATTTCTGTAGCCACAAAGGATCCTTGGTGCGTGAGACACACGAAGCCCTCCCTGCATTACAGATGAAATGGCAGCAGTCAGATACATGCAGGCTTGCAGGGTCTCAGGGGAGAGGTTTTCCTCCTGGTTTGTCCTGGTTGGTTTTTGCTAATGAAATCCTTCCTAGGAAAAAGTTAGTGGCTCCCTACAAGCACCTTTAGGCTGTCGGCGCACACTCGAATTCAGTGACACCTCTGCCTTCTTAACATAAACAGCACCAATATATTAACCAACATTTCCTGCTTATTTACATGTTTGTTCCTTGATGCTGAAAGCCAACTCCACCACTGGCACAGGGATCTGTGCCCACTTCCTCCCCAGCAGCTACCATCCAGACAAGGGAACATTGCAACCAAAGCAAGAAAGATTATTAGATCTTCCATGTGCAATCCAGCGAGCCAGAAAGGGCTTCTGTTTCCAGAGCACAAGCAAACAAACTGTACCAAGTTTAAATTTGGTGTAACTATATATATTTTTTAGGCAAAGTGTGAGGCCAGGAGAAGATCTGTCTCCTCTAGGGAGCCACTGTAATAGGCATATCAGTTACAAAGTTCATGTAGTACTTACTTGGATTCAGAAATGATGCCTCAATTTTGTAATTCTGAACAAATTAAGTTTTAGACAGATAGGGGATGCCTTTTGAAAAGATACATGCCAGGAAGAGGAGACTCAAATGCAGCAGGAAAGTGCTGGTGATGCCTCACTAGGGAGTCCAGTCACCCCAAGAAAAAGGGGCTTCTAATTCACCGGGGGAATAAAGATCCCAGAGAGCCTGGGAAAAACAAACAGGTCCTTCTGGGTAGTGAACTGTTTTTCAGGATTCCTTGGCAGGCAACCAGCTACTCTGCTTTGTAAGGTCTTGTTCTTCCTTGCAAGGAGGAAAAAAATAACTGAAGGGCTCCCGCTTTTTGAATAAGGTCATCCTAATGCACTCGAGAAGCCCAGCACCACAGCTCCTCATTGTGAGTGCTATGGGGTGTAGCTGCACTCTACAGGTGCTTGAATAAACAACACTACCACTTTCAGGAGAAGAGAAAATGTAGAAAAGACAAGCCTAATGACTTCAGCTCAGCTTCAGCTTTTCCCCCACGCTTCACCAACCCCCCTTCCCACATCCCAGACAGCCTCCAACCCAATCCCACTGCCTGTCTCCAAGTGCGTGACAGTGGAAAAAGGCCTTTTCTCCCACAGGAACAGCCAGTGCGACCCAGATAGATTGTGGGGAGGTTTAACCCCTTGGCTGGCTGGTCATATGCCATGTGTAATCACAGGAATGCTGTGCCACATATGTATCTGTTTCCAGAGATATATATATATTTTTTTCTCTTACTTACCTTCCCCATTCCAGCATGAGCATGTCCCAGCTTGACCACTACAGGAAAATTTGGAGTTGTGAGCTGAAAGACAAAAGAAAGACCCTTTCATTAGTTATTTTTACCAGCCACTGTATTAGGAATAATTTTCTTTTATTTAGTAGCTTTTACCACCTTCCTGGATGCTGTAAATTGGATAACAAAAAGGCCAAATAAAGTTTGTTTGGATGGCAGGGCAATGAGCAAATAGTGCTTCACTGGATTCCATATGATTGAAAGTAGAGGCCTGGCAGAATTCCTCAGATCTGACCCATTTCTGCTGTGTGATAGCAGTTTTCCCATCCTGTACATAAGGATTTGTGTACACCCCTATGCATGTAAAACACTGTTGCACTTGCAAGCTTGTGTAAGTGAACGCTTTCTGATGCTGAAAACATCCTAATGGTGAGAAAGACAAGGGTGGTTTGTTCTCTTCCACAGTGACTGCTTTAGCCATAACAGTGAGTGCACTCCTCCCATCCACAGGGAGGGTGGGGGGACAACGAGAGAAGGAAGTGGAGCCAACCCTTAGGTGTGACTCCCAGAGTCCATCTATTCATAAAGCCTGTTCTTCTTTACCTTCAGGGGTGGGTATAGTGAATAAAAGAAAACAAAGAAGGATTGGAATCAGCAATAAAAATAAAAGAAAAAAAGTCATATGTTCTCCCTGGCTTGTGTGGTGTTTCCATTGGGAAGGGTCCCACCACCCAAGGCATACAAGGTCATCTTAGAGCACATGTGGCATTTTGCTTGAGGAACTGCAAGTACCCTCTCTGCCTTTTCTTCTCCAGTTTCATACTCATGCAGAGATTCACTTGGAGGGATCAGCTCAGAGCTGGGTGGCTGCACTGGTAGGAAGTGTCAAGAGTAAGTAGGATATATGCATCACATTTCCCCTGTGTACTGGTAGGTCCATTTCTACACCTCTGCTTGGCATCCCTGTGCCCTTCATCTTGTCTTGTGCTCATGATTCTTGTGATCTAAATGCTATTTGTTCAGTATATAGCTGGTTATTTTTTATTGCATATTTAATTTCCTTTAAAGACACTTTTATCTTGACTTAAGTGCCCAAAGTGATGAGCTCTATTCATTAAGCAGTTAACCTGGAGATCTGGCAAAGGGAGGCGTTGAATTTTGATGGATAAATGGGTCTCCTATTTATTTAACTTTGAGAATAGATAAACAACTTGTTCTTGTGTTAATTACCAATTGTCTGTACGGACAGGCAGGCACTACGCCCTAAAGATAGAATGGTGCTGCAGTCTCCATCTGTGGCAGCTCACTATAAATAACAAAATTAGTAATGAACACTGATATGTTTTGCTATTCAGCTGCTTATATAAAGAAATGTCACAGGAGAGGGGAACACTGAGTGCACCACGTCCTCAAGCAGCCTGTGTCACTTTCTTCAGGCAGAAAGCTGAAGAAAGATCTTCTTTGGACCACAGAAGGGCACAATAAATCACAGTCCTGGCACCAGCATCACCGCTTCAGAAGAAGAGGCAAGAGACTGATTGGTGGCCATCCTGAAGTCAAACGGTTAAGTTTTATGTCCAGGCACATATGTTTGTACTCTATTTCACCTTTGCCTCTTTAATTCATTGTAAGAGCCTGAAATTTAATTTATGCTGGCAAAAATGAATGGAGGACTGCACAGGAGGCTTACTGAAGATAGGGCTCTGGATGGACCATACCAGGCCTTTAATGCTGGAAGATGAAAGGCAACCCAGTAGCTGGGACACCCACCTGCTCAGGCTCTGGGAGATGTGGCTCACTTCCCAGCTCTCTCATCCCTACCCCATGCACCCTGTTTGAGCCAAAGTGCTCGCAAGCCCTGGCCTCTGTTCCCTGTTTGAGAGCGGAGGCAGCAGCTGTTCCTACAGAGCAGGAAAAGCAAACTGCACGCTGTGAGCCTGCCTGATACCCTGGCAAGGAGGCCAGAGAAGTGTGCAGGATAGATAATGCTCTATCACTGGCTCAAAGCAGACAGAGGCAGGAAGCAATGTCTCTGCTGCCCTGTTTTTTGTCCCCTGCCTATGATGTTGCTGAGGGAGCCCGTTTGGGCATGGGCTCCGGGAGTGGGAAGCATCTGTTTTCCTGTATACATGCAAAGAAAGTTTGGGATCCAGTAAACAAACCAAGTTTACTGTTAGTCTGGAAAATACCACAGGCAATGACAATGCGCTGCGCAAACTTCTCTCTTTCTCTCTGCTTCTTGGAAACATGAGCTCAGCTTTCTTACTAAGGCTTGGTCTCATCCCACGTAGGGGTGATCAGCTAGTGTCAGAGCATGTTGGGGTGACATGTGGCTTGGCCTAGGCATAGCACTTGAGGCTTGACGTGAGACAGATCCAGACTGTGAACATGTGGTAGCCTCGCTGGGAAAGCTGTGGCTCCAGAGAAATGCTGGTATATGGTTAGCCAGGAATCTGCCTCTGCCACTGAAGACTCACCACATTTCCACATACATGAACCTGCCTTATGGAGGAACCGACAAGAGAGCATGGCATATGCACAGAGCTGCATTATAGAATGAGTTTATCTAGTGACAGTGGAGTGCCCTTAGCCTGTGCTGAAGTGTCATCAAAAGCTCTCCACAGTCCACAGGACTAAACAACCAGAGTCCACAACCACCCGCTGGAAAGCCTTTGCTGAAGTAGTGGAAGTGGTTGAACGCCACTGCAGTCAGCAGGGAGACCTCCAGCTTCCACCAGAGTCTTGCTGGGACTCAGGTCCCATTTTTTTTGTTAATAACGTGGCCAGCCATCATACTTGGCAATCACCCAGATGGACAGGGAAGTCAAAGAAGGGAGAATCTATTATACACACAACTCTGATGCAATTCACACACAAACGCAGTGAGAAGTTCTGCGGGTGGCCAAAGCCACCGCAAAGGCAGACCCCTGAGATGAGTATTTACACATACTGAGTCACAAATTTCCCGGGAAAGAAGATATAATCACAGAATAGCACCACATTTTAATAGAAAAAGCATGTTTTTACTGAAATCATGCAAAGACATATGTCTGGGTCTTTCTATGTGTTGCAAGGGCTCTTCTTTTCTCGGAAAAATAGTGAAAAACACTTTAATCATTTAAAAATATGCATAAACTGTTGACAGGACTGTCATAGATGAGGTTGGCAGGTTTTGGGATGGGACTGTAGTGCTGCAGCTAGCTCAGTGATCATATGCAGGGTGTTAGTTCATATATATAACTCAACCCTTTGAATTAAAATCTTACAAATGTATTCCCAGAGGTTATGATAAAGCCTTGACGTGCCAAGGATTACATAAATGTCTAGAGCTTGGTGTACATAGAAGTCTGTTAAGAGTCAAACAGCAGTTTGAATCCTGAACTAGGAACTCATCCATGCCTTTGGTAGTAGTGAAAGGAGAGTCATGGAAGTTATTTCCAGCTTAGAACACCAATGGCCCAAAGTGTACCATTTCAGCCCCTGATCTTCAGGGCTCTGCTCTGTGTGTAGTGTCACTGCAAAGATGGCTTTGCAGTTTATTAGTTTTGGCAGTGGTGTGTAAAATGAGTGCTGGTATGCACACATTAGCCTTTATTTGAAAACACGTGGCTGTCAACTGTGACACTTTCCCCTTTACCTTCTGCCCCTCCTTTCCGAGAAATAATGAGAGCTTCAGTACTTCTTGTCAATTTATGAATATTTTCTCTATTCTTTACTGGTGGAGCAGTAGAACAGAGTTGGATCCAAATTGATCTGAAGGAAGGAATCTTAGGCAGTGTTCAAAGCCAGGTTGGACAAGGCCTTGAGCAACTTGGTCTAGTGGGAGATGTCCGTGCACATGGCAGCAGGGATGATAGATGATCTTTAATGTCCGTTCCAACCCCTTAACATTTGATAATCCTATACAACTTGATCTAATCCATAAGTACAATGCTTTTGACCCTTCTATTTCACTGAGACCCTCAAGAGAGAGGCTTATTTTAAGTTTGTGATTGTTTTGTATTGTCCTGTTGCCCATGAACAAAGTAGAATATCTCTTTTGATTTCCTTCCGTTATGTGTAGTTTTGTGCATTAGTTCACATTATCTAACTCATTTTATACAAAGAACTTTTAGTTTCTAGTACTATTCTTTCTTCTGCAAAACCCTTCCAATCAAAGCTAAAATGAATAATACAGGCTGCAATTACATCATGGTTAATATTAGGAGGGTTTTGGAGTGGTGGGAGATGGGGTCATTAAAACTTTGGTCTCTTGGCATTGGTATTGTATTACCATAGCATCCAGTGTTTTCAACCAGGCCAGAGAAGGCTCCATAGCACAAGGTATTGTAATTTTGCCTTCACCCTTCCTCCAGAAGTAATAGTTTTGTTTTTATACTCTAAACCTGATTTTTATGTTTATTTAGCTGCTTTCACTTGTATGATGACAAAGTCTGTTTTGGGTGGGTACCTAATAGATGATGGGAATGTTGTTTGTGCACTTGAGACCTAAATGTTGGAAGTAACGTGTGTGGCACTTCCCTGGTGTCAATTAAGTTGAAGGAGCTGTGAACATATAATTTCCTGTAAAAGTAAGTAAGCTGATTCAAACCTACAGGAAAATAATGATGTCATGATATGATGTCACTGTGTTTATGGAACTATCTTACGAAAAACTTAATCTGAAGATCAGCACCGGTTGCCTGCCAGCCTTGCCAGGCATGGCAAGATCATGGCTGCATGTGATATGGTTTCCTGTAAGACACACACCTCTGTGCTGATTACTGTATTGTAATTAGAGCACAATGAAGAAAAAAATCATTATCTGGGGAAAGAGGACCTCAAGACAGCTGAAGTAAATCCTGAGGAGGAGCAGGTATCTGCAAAGGTCTCAGGAGGAAGGAGGAGATAGGGGCCATGATGAGAAGAGCAATGGCAGCAGTTGTGACAGCTGTGACAGGAGTTCAATGACAGCTGGATCACGACAACATTATACAGGTGGGATCTGAAGCAGTGAGGCAGTTGATGGACGAGATTGCAGCAGGGTGGTAAGAAAATAACCTTTGATTTTCCCATTGCTTAAAAAAAGT